CCGGAGTATCGTCGAACCGGTGTCTGTTCGGCCATGCCGGAGGAGAAGAACGGCTGCGTTGTGGGCTGTCAGCTGGCCCACATAAAGCCCGAGGATGGCGTCTCGGTGACCGCACAGGGCTACACCCGTGTCTGTTTTGATTCAATGGGACTTCTGCAGGTGACTGCTCGTTGTTGGCGGCTTGATTCTCTCTTTAACTTACATGTCTCCTTGATAGAAGTCTCACTGATTCGCTTTATCGGTTTTCAGGCAGTCCCGACAGCGTATGTCTCGCTCTGACAATTGCTCTTCCTTGTTCTTATACAGATAATGTCAACGAAATACCTACTTATTTCGCTTAAGTAGGCGTTTTTATGCTAGACTTAATGCTCGTGGCCGAACTGCAGCTACTTGCATCCACTGAAGCACATCAGTGATCAAATAATAGCCAGGCGCTCTAACAATTGCTCTTCCTTGTTCTTATGCAGCTTGAAGCTAGAATAAGGCTTGCGAGGCCAACTGGACGACTTCCTCCCCCTTCTCAGAAGGGATGGTGAGCACTAGGTGGTTTGCGTTAAATCAGCCACCGGCACCTCAACTAGTTATAAATCATATTCTGCTCACCGGACTAAGTTTGTTTGTTCGCTGACGTTTCGGACTGCTGGGCGGGCTGCCCTTCATCAAAGCGTAAACTGGCTTTATTTGTAAGGAATTCAATGTTGTGGCTTTGTGCGTTGGCTATGGACTGACCGATTTTGCTACGCCCGTTGCTTGGCCTTACGTGTGGATTTTAGCATAACTTAACGGCAATTAGCGTTGTGTTTCGTCCCCACAGTAGAGTATGCTGATAATCCTGCTCCCTCTCCCAGTGGTTTCGTCACGAGGCCGTCTTTATTTGCAACTCCCAAGTTCGGTTTGACCTGGTCCTGTCCTTTACTTACGTAATGGCGTAGGAATTTTTAGGCAGCGGGAAGGTCCAGATGCCTGTTGACTGAGTTGACTTTTGGGTACCTTGCTTCAAGCGTCAGTCATTCCCTTTTTGAGGTTCCTCGACCTACGATGGTCGCTTCTTGGATATCGAAGTTGTGGCCGGTCTCTGCGATATGTGTTGTAAGCTGCGAGTTAGTATCCAGACTTTGGGCCAACGCTTGGTGCTCGTGTAGGCGGGTCTGCAATTGTCGGCCTGTTTTCCCAACGTTATTGTATCCTTCATCGTTGAAACGTAGTTTGTAGACAACTGCGGTGGTTTCCGTAGGGAAGGGGGGGTGTCCTAAGTTTGCATCACATCGTAGGCCGAGGAACCTCAAAAGCTGAAAGCCTGACGCTTGAGACATGGTACTCATACGCCAACCCTGTCAACAGGCACCTGGACCTCCCTGTGGCCTACAAAGTGCTACGCCATTACGTAAGTAAAGGAAAGGACACGACCAAACCGAAGTCAGGATTTGCAGATGAAAA